TCATGATAAACACACCCGAGGTGAAAATTACCTTGTTGCTTGAGTTTTGCGAGCAGTTTATCCAGCACAACCATTTTCCCACTGTTATCAACAAGGTGTTGATCCGTTGTGTATGGTGGGCCAGGTTCAGCTCCGTCGAAAAGATAAGGGTGATTAGCTGCCTTACGCAAGTGCATCAAAATATTCATCAGCCTGAAAAAAAATGTTAGAAACCCTTGCGGAACTCTCCCCCAGTACAGCTTGTCGAACAGTTAGTAAGTTAGCTCCGTGAGCACAGTGATGAAATCGCACCTTGCTTTCTCAACCTTTCCAGCTCCATTTATAACGTCGATGTCCTTCATAAGAACTTTTGTATACCACTCTCGTTGCATTTTCGACAGGCCCACATAGATCTGAAAAAAAAACCATCTACGTAAACAAGCAAAACCTGCTGTAGCATCAAAAATAAGGAGTACATATTACCTCACTAATGATGACTGAATAATTAATGAATGTGTGCAAAACCAAGCCTCACATTTGGTAATCTAATACACAGCTTTATGCCCTCGATGGTGAAACAGAAGGGAAGGTCATGCTAATTGATGTAAACCTCATTTATTGATCCCACATTTTTCCATTTGTTTTCCCATTACTGCATACTTATTAAAGGAAGCGATAACGATAACTAGGGAGCGTGCTGAGCAAGCATATGCGCCACAGAAGCAGTATGCCAAGGAACCAAGTGTAGCGCTTTCACGCTGGCTGGTGGGCATACTTGCGAATCTCCCCGCCCCCTGAGCGTTTCGCCCACAAATTTGGTGATTTGGACGAGCTGTTGCCAGCAGCGGCACAACTGGAGCAACTCGACTGGAGCATGGATTGGCACTGCCACCAAACGCGTTGCGGTAAACTCGTCCATACGTCCGCTTCTTAGCCACTGCCCGTCCATGAGTGAAAAACAGCTGCCAAACAAGGGGGTCTCGTTTTGCGTTTTATCGACGGATTCTCTGGTTTTTCCGGGCTGGCTTACAGTGAGCAACCCCACGATCCTCCAAACCCTTCCAGACCCTACCGCAAACGTAGCCTTCAAAATTTTCTGAATAGTCACTTAATTGTCAACACCGTACCTTGACTTCCTTTTTAGGCAAAAGGGACTTTTCTACGTCAGACTTTATTCGGCGTAGAAGGAAGGGTTGAAGCACCTAAAATAAAGAAACTTAGCGAGGAATTAGGGCGACTAGGGGGGGCGTGTTTACTAATACATTTGCACTTTTTGATTACCTTATGAAGACGAGATATGATGTCCGTATTGCCCTGCATACTTCCATCAGTAAACCAAAGAATCGAAATCTCTGATGACGAGAACATATCGGGAAGCAAAAAGTTCAACAAAGCCCAGAGCTCATGAAGATTATTTTTGCAGTGGAGTTCCAGTGATGAGAAGGCGATTTTTTGACTTAATCTCTCTTACAACTTCCGAGAGCTGAAAACAAAACGACAGGTTTCGAAAGCGGTTGTAGTAAGGACGGAGAGAAAAAGGGAAATACCTTCGACTTTTCGTTCTTGATCCTGTGAGCTTCGTCTATGATGATATACTTCCATACCAACTTCTTTAATTGGGTTTTCACTTTCAGCACCATCTCGTAGGTGGTACAGCAGACATCAAACTTTTGTGGTAAAATCACATTGTGAATTACATCATTCTAAAATTAAAAATGTAATATGTGAAATCCCTGCTTAGAAGCCAATGCTGACTCACCCTCTCCTTCTCGTCTCCTATCACGCAACAAGTTACGATAGAAGGACACCATTTTGCAAATTCGTTCATCCAATTTTTCAGCGTCGACTTCGGGACGATTACTAGATGAGGGCTAGCCATGTTTTTGTAGTGTTTCATATATCCGAGAAGAGCAATCGTCTGCAGCGTCTTCCCCAGACCCTTCAAATTTGAACGCAATTTATACAGTATGCTGGTCACTTCTAAGTGAGTAAGGTGAAGAAGTTTAGAAAAGATACCATCTCATCAGCGAGAATTCCATTGATACCATTATGCTGAAGTGAAATTAGCCAATTCAGCCCACGCACTTGGTAATCTCTATAATGGAACATGAATGGTAATTGCTGGACTAACGTGTAGTGCAGATATGAAGCGGTAGTACTATTTCACCTTAATTTCACCATTCAGAATATAAAATGGGTTCTTATCGAAGACCATTATGGTGTCTTCTCTGACAGCAGCCTCAGCCATCTCCTCATCTTCTTCCTAAAAATCATGGTCTAACGCCACTGAAATTCCTACGAGCTTTCTTACTGAGTAAAATCATCACATAAGAGAAGCAGTAAAAACTAAAATATGCAATTACCACTGACCGAAATATACTATTCACAACGGGATCAAACTCCCAATGTTAAAAATTCGAATTTTTTTGACGAACCTGCTCGGTTTTCCTATGTCTGTGGTCACCTTCAATTCCAGTCTTGGCAGTTCTTCCCCGCTCTTCTTCACACGGTGATCTATAAGTATTTTACCATAAATTCCCATGTTCGGGCTGCTTTCTTTGGAACCTGGGCATCTTGATATTTGTGTTTTTCTTCTTTTGTGCCGCACAGGTTGTTATGGTGGAACCGTTTATTGGTCAACGTTTCGACAAACCGTCGTCTTCAGGACCTGAAACCGGTTCAAAGTTCTAGCTCCTAACTCTTCCGGTGAAGCGCCTAATCTTGTTCAGTTCCCCGGAACTCAAAACAAAACAAAATAGAACGATCCCAGTGAACGAACCAACCTGTGATCCCACCAGTCTCCCAGCAGCCTCCTCTCGTTAGTGACCAAGATAAAATGAGACACCATGGACAATGAGTGTCCTACGTGTCGCATGTGGTGGTCTCATAATCCACAAAAAGGAATGAAAGGCAAGAATTCATTTGTTATGGTCATGCATTCATTTCGGTTGTTCAGCACTGGATTTTTCACACGGAAGAACAAACACAAGACATGTCGTTTTCTAAGCTAGAAGCGCGAAATCATTGCGTCATGTAATTTACCCCGTGTGTTGCCAAGACGGGAGAAAGCATGGATTTCCGCGCCTTTCCTCTAAATCAGTACAACTCCCACCACAAAACTTCGTCCACAGGGAACAGGTATACATACCCCCCCCTCGGAAACTCGCCCATATGGGCAAACGACGCAGTTTTCCGCACGCGCGGTCGTAGAGTCTATTGCGGATCAGCTGACGTTTGATATTATCTCCTGGTGTATTTATCAAAGCTACGTCATTCGCTAGACCCGCTCGTGCAATGCACTGCCGTATAGCCGCGCTAATCCTATCCGATATGAAAGGCAATTGGAGGTGCGTCATCTCCTCGCGACTTCTCGCGGAATGCCCTTGTGAACCTTCGCGATTTCTCGCGGGATGTTCTTGTGAACCTGATTCTTCGCGTTCCATTCCATAACCGTTCGCTTTTGCAATCTCGGAAGCTAGCTTACGTGACTCATCTCGCTCCACGTTGCCTGTACAAACTCCAACCGCTGTTTTGTACATGTTTCGAACAACCGCACGTTTAACAGCACTAGGATGTGCAGACTTTGCATGAAGTACGATGTTTTGTGGATTATGAGACCACCACATGCGACACGTAGGACACTCATTGTCCATGGTGTCTCATTTTATCTTGGTCACTAACGAGAGGAGGCTGCTGGGAGACTGGTGGGATCACAGGTTGGTTCGTTCACTGGGATCGTTCTATTTTGTTTTGTTTTGAGTTCCGGGGAACTGAACAAGATTAGGCGCTTCACCGGAAGAGTTAGGAGCTAGAACTTTGAACCGGTTTCAGGTCCTGAAGACGACGGTTTGTCGAAACGTTGACCAATAAACGGTTCCACCATAACAACCTGTGCGGCACAAAAGAAGAAAAACACACAATATTTACATATTTTGCAAGCTGCAATTGAATGACACCGGTAGTCACGCGATGGAAGCTTCTCAACGACCTACCTTTGTAAGCTGCGACATCCCCTGCACTGAGGCAGTGCGAGAAATTCTCTGTTTTCTTTAGCAATAACTCGAATCTCTTGAAGGAGTCTGCTTCGAACTTTGACTCGAGGCTATCCTCTGAAATACATCTTTAACAATAAAAAACTGATTCTCACAAGAAAACTGAAATATGTTTTTACCTCCCTCTTCAGCCTCCATCTCATCCTCCTCATCTTCTTCTTGTGCCATTTTGACATCCTCAGAAGTTTCTTGCTGTGCACTTTCCTGGATTTAAAGCATATTATCATTCTGTGCAAATCCCACGGCAAACAAATACTGGTATGTACCATAACATTTATGAGGGCATATTATACGATTCCACAGTTAATTCGCTGGAAATTACGGTGCTAACTTACTTGGGGTTGGGCCCACGCGGCGGTGTGGTGCTCTGTTTGTCGTGCTCCTCCAAGGCTTAGCCCAAGGGGCAGTTACTATTTCGTCGCCACGTGGCAGTTTTGAAATGAGCGCCATCTGCGGACGACTAAGCCTTTGGAGGGGCAGACGACGAACAGCGTCGCCGCCACGTGGTCCCCCCCCCCCCACTAAGTTAGCACCGAAATTACTACACCTACTTCTTTCCGATGGAAAAAATGAGATGGCAAGGAAATGGCACCTCATTCAATGGACCAATAAAGGCGATATAACTCAATCTAATACGAAAAGCATCAGTGGCTTAGCGACAAGTTCAAATGAAGTACCAATAGATATCAATCGCTTAAGTGCGTTCGCTGCAAGCACCCAAGACGCGCACGCTGCTCACAGCTAGGATTCAACTACAGGCCAAGTACATTTTCCTGGAAATCGCCAAAGCCAAGTACGCGACTTTTCATGAAGAAGCAGAACAAAACTCAACAAACCTCATTCACCTCCATCTGCTCTTCCTCATTTACTACTTCCTCTGTTGACATTTTCCTTCTGAAACATAACTATAAACTGGAAAAATGGGTACTTTACTGACAAAGGCACGAAGAGAAAGAGCAGCGCTTGGTTGAGATCGCGGCGCGGTCGCGTCGACCCCCCCCGTCATCTCGAATCGCGTCGTTTTCCCGCGCCTGGGCGTTTAAAAGCCGCGACAGTGAAGTTTTGTGTGCAATCGCAGAGTGTACAGCTCTTCCGTGGAAACTTCACGCCTGTTTCATATTTCTTCCCAGCTGGCGATTCCTTTGCAATGCTTCCGTGTGCTTTGTTGTTTCGTTCCTTTTTTTCACCATGAATTACGTGAAGTTCAACATGGATCTGGTAGTTGATTTGGGAGTAATGCATCCGGAAGAAGGTTTATAATCAGTGATAATAGTGACACTGGTGGTAATGACTACCACATATATGTGTATTTACACATTTGTATAATGAAACTCATTGGTTTGCTTTTTTTAGTTCGTATTCCAAAATTACCCTAGCTTTCTGGAAAAACTGCATCATGATGCCCCTTCAGCTGGAATAGACTTTCTTCTTCTCAACAAAGATTCTCAAAGAAGTCTGGTTTTTTGAATCTAGAAAATCAGGTGCTAACTTAGTTGGGGGGGGGGCACGCGGCGGCGCGGCAGTCTGCTCGCCTGGCATGTTCGGAAATCCGTGGGCCAGGGGGAGTGTAGCCAGTCTAGGGGGTGGGGGGTGGGGGCAGTCACTTGACATGCGTGAAAAGCTGGAATGTTCGAGTTTACACTGTCTCGCTCGAGAGAGCCCAGGTGAGCAGACTGCCGCGCCGCCGCGTGCCCCCCCCCCCCCCAACTAAGTTAGCACCCTTGAATCTTCCTCTTGTTTTGAAAAGTCGCGAAGGGACTTGATGTTTTCGAAACTAGTCGTTACAACACCGAAATCTCAGAATTTAGGTAATGTAGTTGGAGTCGACACTCCCCCCAGCTACATTAGCACCGGATTTTGAGGCGAAACGAAGAACTCATACACCCACTAATCGTGAACCCACTGGCAACGAATGTGGCACTCATTTCTCGCTCTAGCGCCATGTGGCTTAGTTTTGTTAATAACCTAATGCAACAACTCTTTTCACTAAATTCGCTACGATCCTGCCGTAATGGGAACATATTTAGTTGCCCTTGATGAAGTTCACTTTTAGTGTTAGTGTCGTTTGTCGCAACTGGGCACAATATTGGTACCAAACTGGCACTAAGAATGGATGTCGTTTCGTGATCTGCGCAGTAAAATACCTTTTGAGGGGCTACAGAAAACGTTCTGTCCTTTTTGACGCTCCACTGGCGGAGGTGTCTGCGTATTAGTTGAGCAGTGACGTATCTTCTGTGAGTTGTTTACAAGTGCCCATAATACGTTCGAGTCTGGTAGTGTGGTACTCACGCAAATGCAAGGGGCGCTTTTTCATGTGAGGTAGTTTCGACGTTGAGTGAGAATGAGACGGGCGGGAGGGGGATGGAGGGAGAGAGTTTTGGGGTGCAGTAGTCACCCGAAACAGTAATCCGGTTTTTCGATGAGGAAAAAAGCGATGTATGATATTCTTGAATGCGAATAGGCGGTAAGATGAATCAATAATATTTACGGTAGCGTTACACTTCACGATTTGATGCCCTCCATGGCAAATAGGGGTCCCTTATTGTTAGTACACTAGCGCTGTTCTTCTTAGGATGAAGTTTCCTTCCCGTGTCATTCCCATCTCGTACTAAATTCAAAGTCTATTGCTTGGTATGGATTATCAATGGATCCCTGCTTTTCTTCATTTTATTGATATCGTTGCTACAACGGTGAGGCTTGAACAATTACTAAGAAAGAAAGCCGCACTTTTGTGTACCTTTTAGAACCAACATCCACCATTTTCTTCTTTACTTCGCCCTAGTGTCTTTATAGCAACGCTCAGGGTTTGCGATTCCAACCTCAGGTCACGGTCATCCTTTGCGACTGCCTTGCAATTCGTTTGCAGTGGGAGGGTGAAGTAGATGAAGTTCGATCGCGATCTTGCAGCGAACAAAGTGCAAGGTATTCGTTAAAGGTATGGTCGCACTTTTTGTTTACACTAAATACCTTTTTGGTTAAGGCTTACTACTTATTATTGTCGATCATGAATTTTCGGTGAATCGCGGGTTCCTTAATTCAAATGAATCTTTTGGTTCCCTTAGAACTGTTTTAACAGTCCATTCTAGGGGAGTTACAGAGGCAGAGCGCGAACACAGCGTAACGTGACTGCAGCACTGAGTGCGCTCCAACTATTAGGTTGGTTCAAAATCGTCCGCCGTTAATTTGACTGATGGCTCAGTTTTGTCTACAATTTCTATTGATTTCGATGACATTGCAAAGCCCACAATCCTCGTATCTTCCAATGAACATCATTATATATTGCTTCACAATAGTTTTCCTTGCGACTAGGAAATATCACAAATGCTACATGAGCATTATTTGAGCTCAAGAAGAATGCTCCTGATAGTCTTCTAGCCAACTCACTGAAACATGGGGTGAAGATACAGTTTTCAACAGTAGAACCAGTACGCTTTTTGAATAGCAATCCTGCTCCAAGAATTCGAGCCACAAGCCAAAACTGATCTATCGCAAGAAAAAGAAAATCAAGAAGCTGTTCTGGGAGAAGCTGCCTTTCTTGCTCTCGAGTACTTTTCTTTCTTCTTTCTGAAATTCTGAAACAAACACATAAGTGTAATATATCAAAATCTCTGAAGGATTGTGGATTTTTGAATGGCATCTAAATCATCAGATATAGTGAGCAAATTTAGAAAAGCCATTGGCCGTAGTAAATGGCAGATAATATGTGAAAATTGTTTTCCTGTACTGAGAGTTGCATACTTCGCATCACTTTGAGTTATTCGTATTGCTTAATTTCGAGCTTGTGGACCAAAAATCTTGGTTGGATATATTATATTCGGCATGATGATATCGTGTTTACACAGTGAACGAAGAGGCTAACCTGTTCCTCCATTGGCATTTCATTGTATCAGTTCGATTTCATTGTTTCATGTTCTCCATCCACAATATTGTCAAGCGCGTTTCTCTTTATTCTCATTGAATAACTTCATCAATCATGGGAGTCCCCTTCGCGCCAACAAACCTGGTCAGCGTGTAGTTTGGGATGAAAATGGTTAGATTGGAGATAGATCTACTTCTGAATTCATGACGAAGTGTAATGGAATGACAGACTACCTCATATCTTCACGTATTTGATTTGCAGAAGCCTTATTTGCATGGCCATGCACACATGCGATTATCTGTTTGATACGAAGTTTGATGGCGGCTAACCATATTTCTAAATGTTGCCTTCAGCACCTTTTCAGTCCTTTCCTCTCCTCTTCCTTTTCGCATGACAACAGCGCTGCCCTTTTTTAAAAGCGAATGTAATGATGCTTTCGC